CACGTGAGATAGTTTCACCCTTGTCGTGCTGCTGTACCGTGAGAAGGTGAAAAATGCTCTTAAAACATAGTCTTCTTCGCACAGTGAGAGAGGAAAAATGGGCGGGAATTTTGCCGCTCTTTTTACCGACGGATTTACCGACGGATTTGGGCCGTCGGTAATTACCGAAGGCTTTTACCGACGGATTACCGACGGATTGTGGTCGTCGGTAATGACCGAAGATCAAAATCCGTCGGTAATCACTTTTTTTTTATCCGTCGATAAAATCCGTCGGTAATACATCGTTTACCGATGGAAATGATTCCGTCGGTAAAGTTCCGTCGGTAATTCCATGTATTTTTGTAGTGGATGTAAGGTTTAAACCCTCATTTGGTCATCATATTTATTGGTTAATCTTAAGTTGGTTCTTATTTTTTTCGGTCTCAATTGAGTCTATAAATTTGTAAAATTGAGCCAATTAAGTCCTTTCCGTTAAGTTTTCATTGACGCCGTCTAACTGTGATGACGTGGTGCACACTGATGTAAAAATATTTTATTACGTGGATTTTTTTAAAAAATTAAGAGTTTTTTATGTGGCCTCCTCTAACGCAAAGACCACAGCTGCAACCTCCATGCGAAACCAGTTCTCACACCATCTTCGCGCGTCATTCCTTCATCGCAACATCTCGTCTCATCCTCACCACTTTTTACTTTCAATATGACCAATCACAATCACTCTATTCTAGATTTCGATATTCAAATGGACGACAACAACCAATANTCATTTTTTTCGGTCTCAATTGAGTCTATAAATTTGTAAAATTGAGCCAATTAAGTCCTTTCCGTTAAGTTTTCATTGACGCCGTCTAACTGTGATGACGTGGTGCACACTGATGTAAAAATATTTTATTACGTGGATTTTTTTAAAAAATTAAGAGTTTTTTATGTGGCCTCCTCTAACGCAAAGACCACAGCTGCAACCTCCATGCGAAACCAGTTCTCACACCATCTTCGCGCGTCATTCCTTCATCGCAACATCTCGTCTCATCCTCACCACTTTTTACTTTCAATATGACCAATCACAATCACTCTATTCTAGATTTCGATATTCAAATGGACGACAACAACCAATACTCCATTCTCACGCCTTCAAGATTACCTTGCCAAAACAAACATCGGCTGGAAAACGAGTAAGCAGGAACAAAAATTAGGTTTTGAGATTGCAAGAGATATCAAAAAAGGTGTTCGTCCTTCCTCTTTCAAGCACCGCAATCTCTCCGTATCTCTGTCTCTGCCGCCATGTCTTCTGCCTTCGTCCTTGATTCTGTGTCATATGACACCCCCAAAAGTAAATCCCTAATTGTACAACGACCCATCACTGGCGACAAAAGTGCTTCCAATCTAAATCCCTCACACCAAGGTGGGGGTTCGAGGAAGTAGAATAAGCGGAAGAGAAATGATGAGTCCTAGAGGACAGAGACGAAGAGGCACAAGGCCATTGAACACTTTTCATCAAGGAGAAGAGTTTTCTTAAACAATGAAGTTTTCTTTTAAGGTAACTTGTAGAAAAATTTTTCTTTAATGAAGGTTCAACACTAGATTTGGGTTGTTCAACAGTTCACCTCTTCCTTTCCAATTTTATCTGCACTAAGGTAAAATTTTTCTTTAAGGAAAAAATAAATAAATCTACCCACCATCAGCCTCTTGCAATTCACAAATTAGTCTTAGAATCAGTTTCACTGAAATTAAATTAAAACTAAATCCTGTCTTCAAAGTTTTATTCAGAATCTAAGGGAAAAAATGCATTCCAAATGCACAAAGGAAAAATAAAACTTCCTTAGACAAGGAAAGATTCGCCGTACTCCCCATGACTTTTCCACCTGACCCCACCAACTACAACAACAGAGCAAAGCAATAATACTGGTATTTGAGTAAGAAATTTAAGTTTGACTTGATCTCCATCAATAATACAAAGAGAAAGTTTTACCATGTAATTTGCACCCACTACCAAATCCCATTTGTAATTATCAGACAGACAAATGCCGCTTTTACAAAACCACAAAAAACCAATCGCGACTTCTCCTCGTCGCGCCTTCACCAGCAACCTCAGCCAAACCCAGAAAATCCTGGCTTCCATGGAACCGCAACTTCTCCTTGTCGCACAACCATCATACCCCCCTTGTTCGTCACTTCGACCACTTTCCTAACTCAAAGCAAATAAAATCCCTAAATTTTAACATAAAATAATTAAATTTTGCCAAGTCATAATGTCTTAATTTAAATAAAAATTCCACGTAATCAAACAAACATCAACCTATTAAGTGTGCACTACGTCAGCATCTGCAGACGGTGTCAGTGAAAACTTAACGGAGAGGGCTTAATTGGCTCAATTTTACAAGTTTACGAACCCAATTGAGACCGAAAAAAAATGAGGACCCACTTGAGATTGACCAACAAATATGAGGACCAAATGAGGGTTTAAATCTATATATAATTGATAAATTGTGAAACTTATCATATAGATGTATGTTTATGTGACAAGGATTACGTATATTTTTGTTTTTAATTTACAGTGAAAATTAAAATTAATTTTAAAATTTTAGATTAATTTAAGTGTATCTTAATTGTTAAGAGTTAGTTTTTACAAAATTTACATTGATTGTGGTTTCATCTCCGCCGTTTCTCCACTTTCCCACCTTCTACAAGTGCATTTACCCTTTAAAGGCGTTTAACTTTAGCGGCATTTCTCTTCCACCTATCAACATGAATTAAAATCTATGAATCAATTCGGTCCATTATGGATTTGGACTAAGTTAAGCTTAAAAAATGTAATTTTTTTATAAGACTAATTTTCAATCTTATCTACTTAGAACTCGGCTTGGGTGAACCGAGTTGGCTCATCAATTCACCTAATTTAATTTAATTATTTATTTTTTGTGTTTTAATATTATTATTTAACAATTTTTTTATCGTATCATAGATGGGATAAGAAAGAAGGTGTTTCAATAGAGAAAAATATTATGAATTTATCTATTTAAGACTCTAAAGTGACACAAAAATTATCAAAATTAGAAACTTAAAAATTTATTTATTTGCTTTCTGTGTTTGCTTTTGGATTACATTTAAATTATATAGTATTATTATTTTATTTTAAATAATATATAATAGAGTTTAACATCATTTTAGTGTGAAATTTATTTAGATTTGTATTAAAAAAATGTATTTTTTTTTTAAAAAAACAATTATAATTAAGTGAACTAGGGAACCAATCCATTTAACCCATTAACCAATGCGTCGGAACGAGTTTTAATTTTTTCAACTCGCTAATAAATTAATTAAATTAGGTTAGGTTACTAAACATGTGGTGGACCGAGTCAGATCAGATAATCCGTTTTGACAACATTACTTTCACTGACATTCTATTCCTCTGGATGTCCTTCTGTGGTGCTTCCCTACTGTAGGAAAAACATCCCGTACAACCAAGTAACATAAATTTTTATTTTTACGTCAAAATAAAGAAAATAAACATCAATAATGAAATTGATGTTATATCATGATTTACAAGATTAAAATCTTGGCTGTTATGACTGATATATCTTTCAAAATTTGGAAGCTCCATCTCATACATTTTATTTATCATCATCATGGTTGTTAATGACTGTCCACTAATCCCAAATTCTTTAATTAAATCTTCTTCGTAAGAGGAAGAAACTATTAATTTCTCTCTTTCTTTTCTTTCTTAATTTATCATCTTTAATAATGTACAACTGTTCATGTTCTCTTTTGTTATGTACCTGACTTGTGAGAATATTGTTCTTTTGCTGTCATTTATTTGCGAGAATGTGTGAATGTTGATTAAGATCCAAAAAGAGGAAGCACTAAAACATTAGACATCCATATAGGTTCCTTTCTCGGAAAGTAACACATGAAAACACTTGGAGAAATACGTAAACGCACTTGAGAAAGATAAATATCACAAATAATCATAATATTAATGTTATCATAAGTTATGTGTAACTACTTTACAAGGGTTATTTTAGTCTTATAATTCATTGAATTTATTTTATATGAGAATCTTATTTATTTACTTGAATCATATTTATAACAATTTTATCTTGACCATGTGACATATTTACAGTGTTGATTTTTTTTTCTTAATATTTCACATGATAATTTGTAAAATGTAGGTGACATATATGGAGAAGAAATTGAAAAAAGCACTTGTCTCATTTGACATGTTTATGTTTGGATATATAGTTACATATTTTAGGTTTTTTTCATTTTAAATGTAATGAATATTTTATATTTATATTTTATGTTTATTTATTTAAATTGATTTTTAGTTTCAAACTTTTAAATGTGATTTGTCTGTTTATTACAATATGATAATTATTTGTAGCAACTACTGTTATCACAATTTCTAATAATAATAATGACGATGATAATAAATATTAATTAATTATCACATAAAGTTTGATAATATAATAATAATAATAATAATAATAATTAATAATTAATAATTAATAGTGTTAACTAATTAACTTTTTATTTGATAATTTGTTATTTATCACTGTTACAAAAACAATACTAGGGAAAATAAATTTGTCATTATTATCTTATATATTTGTGATATTTCATTAGTCACTATAACACAAAATTACTAATGACAATTATTTTTGTCACAATAAATTTAATTTTAGTAAAATTTAAAATTAAATTCAGAATTATAACAATGACAAAAGTTTTAGTAACAACTTTGATATCGTCACAAAGTAATATTAATGACGTATTTCTATGTTTTGGTGATAATTATAATAAATTTTTCTTGTAGGATTGTTAAAAAATATAAACCAAATTATTCGGATACCGGAAGCGATTTATTTGAAATGTGATAATTTAGTCTTTTTAGATTTATAGTCAGTAAAAATATATAATGTATTTCAAAGTTATCATAAGAGAAAATAGAAGAATCGTATAAACTTGGAAGATATAACATATGCAAGGGTAATTTGTTCAAAAGATAACGATAACAACAGCAAATTTCCATTACATAAAACTTGAAAAGATGAATATGGGAAGCGGCGCAACGAATTTGATGAACTTATGGTGGCAATGCATCTTTTGAACTATTGAGAGAACACGACATGAGGTGAAATGGGTCGGTCTCTATTTACTGCTTAGATTGGGCTGCATGGCAAGAACCTTAGACCAAGCTGGTCTTGCTGTAATATCAGCAATCCATGCAGTAACATGTGGTCGTGATTCAAACAACTTCTTGCTCGGTGTGTTCATCAAGTAATGAAGGGTGGGAAGGTGATGCAGATCCGCCAAGGTGAAACACTCACCTGCTAAGTATTTGTTTTGAGACAGTGTTTTCTCGTAGAAATCAAGAATAGTACCTAGTTTCCCTTCTGTCTCTTCTACAGCCGCTGGATCCGTAGGAATCCCATACATTGGCTTTACTGCAACCTCCCATACAAGTTTTGAAGCTGCTTGATCGTACTTTTGGCTCTCTATTTCCATCCACATTCTCACTATTGCCATCTTCTTCGAGTCGTTGCATATCAGTTGGGTCCCCTTATCAGCATACTCATGAACAATATATTGAGTTATTGCCCTTGATTCTGTGTTTCAAATTGTTAGTTCCATGTTCCTGTCTACTAATGTACATTTACACATGCTATACCATATCATATCATTATACTGAAATTTCTTAAAAGTCATAAAATTTGGTGAAATTCACTTGTGATTCTGTAATTTACTAGAAATTTTAACCGTAATTTTCTAACAGATGAACATATATAGAGTGTAATTTACATCATCATAATCAATGTCGATTCTTAAACTGATATAGTATGGTCCAAAGTAGAAAGGATCCTTGATAAGTGTTAGCAGAAGAAAACCTGTTAAAAGAATGTATTGTTTCTTAGTATATATCAATGAGTGTATATATTTAATCATATATATCATACCAAAGAGCTTCAAATCTCCATCTTCGAACGCTGGAACTTGCCCAAATGGCTGCATCAGATGGAGGTGAATAGCAGAATTGAAAAATAGCTAAACAAGGGAAAATATCACTGGAGTCATAAGAAAATTTTACTTAATGCTTACGTTGAGCAAAATGAAGGGTTCCTTTTTGTGTTCACCATTTTTCATGTCAACGTGAACAAACTCAAATTCAACCTCCTTCTCGTACAGGGAAGCAGTAGCTCGCATGGTGGCTGTTGAGAAGGGGCTTCCATGAAGTTTAATTGTCGCCATGATTGAATCAGAAAATTAATTATTTTTTTCAGTGAAATGGGAGATAGAGAAGGGAGTGCGGTTTGTGATCAGATTAGTATATAACATTGATAGAAAGTTACTTTCCATGAATTTTTCAATGAAAGAAATATTTGTAGGTCAGACAAACAAGCCAGATAAGTAGAGGGAACTATTCTTCCGTCGTTTTCCTTGAAAAAGCCAGTTAAATAAAATAACATTCACGTGGACACAGTACTACCTTGAAGTATTTTGAAAAAGATACAATAGACACGCCAATAATTATATTTGTGATATGTAAATTAAATATAACGATTTTCATGATGTAATTTGTTATGGTATATTTTATTTTCAATTATATTATTTAATTATTAATTTCATAATGAATGTAAAGATAATTTGGATATGTTTGATTTAAGTAGCGTTATACATCGAACAGGCAGCTAGTATATCTTCGTAATCTGAGTGAAAACTTGTTCGCAACAAATGCAAAAGATAATTAATTACCTTTCTTTTATTACACTGGAGCATTTTTGTAGTGTTACTACATAAATAGATAACGGGTAGAAAAGGGTGTGTTTTTCTTCTTCCTGGGAATAAGATAAATGTGATTATATATAGGAAGAAAAAAAGTATATTAGAAGGCATTTTAGGGTGAAAATAGTAATTAAGTTTTAAGAATCACCTGTATTTTACTAAGTAAAAAACTCATAAGGTTGTGATAAGTTTCTGTATAGAACATAATGATCAGAGTTTCTGTACTCATAGAAGAACTACGTAGAAAATGAACTATGCATTGTATCCATATACGACCTGTAAACGTGCATGAACTCATACATGGTTATAAATGGAGAACCACGGGCTTATGCACGAAAGGAAGAAGGAAAGCAGAGGAAGAAATAAAGAAAGAGCTTTTGTGCTTTTTATATTACATGAATGTAGTATGATCCAAAGAAGGATGAGATACATATATAGAAGGAATAAGAGAAACGGGAAACAGAAAAGGTAAAATAGAGAAAACGGAAAAAACAAATGGAGGTTAGGATTTTTGGTGTTCTAACAGCCTCCCTTAAGCTTGACATAAATGTTGATAGTGTCAAATTTGGAATTGATATTATGAAAAGTGGATGGAGGGAGCGACTTTGTGAGAATATCTGCGAGTTGTAAAGTGGAGTGAACAAGGAGTAGTTTGACAATGTTGTGTTGAATCTTCTCTGAACGAGGTGACAATCGATTTCTATATGTATTGTTTTTTCATAGAGACTTGATTGGTGGCGATTTTGATGGTAGACAGATTGTCACAAAAGATGGTAGCAGGTTGCGAGAAGGGGAGGCGAAGGTCGTGCATTAGATTATTGAGCCATTGGACTTCACAAACAATTTGAGCGATGGCGCGATACTTGAGTTTAGAGGAGCTACCTGAGATAGTAGATTACTTTTTAGACTTCCAAGAAATGGGTGAGTCGCCTAGATAAACAATGTAGCCAGTGGTGGATTTTCTTGAGTCAGGGCAACCAGTCCAATCAGAATCAGTATAAGCCTTCAAAGTGATGTTGCTTGCTGTCTTTAAAAAAATTATTGACCAGGTGTTTGTTTGATGTAGCACAGGATTTTGAAAGTAGCTTAATGATGAATTTAAGTTGGAGAGGCAACATATTGGCTTAAGTGATGAACAATATAGGTCATGTTAGGGCACATGCTTGTGAGGTAAATGAGCCTCCCGATCAATCTTACAAAAGTTGCAAGATCAACAATAGGTTGTCACCTTCAGATAAGACTTTGGTGGAGAAGTTCATTAGGGTGTTGATGGGTTGTATCGAGCATTTCTATTTCATTGAGGAGGTCCAGAGCATACTTAGTTGAGATAAGTGGATTCCTTAGGATTACAAGCAACTTCGAAACTAAAAAAGTAAGATAAGTTACCTAGATTTTTAATTTTGAATTGACCATTGAGAATCTTAGTTATATGATCAATATCATGTATGCTATTACCAGAGATAGTTATATCATTAACGTAGATCACCAATGTGCATGCTTGATGACATCGTTTGTAATCTTTTGGATCAATTACATTGCTTGTCAATAAATACCCAATTTCGTCCAGCTAAATAAATTCATTTTAAAAAAATAATAAAAAATATAAAAAAAAATATGTTTTCAATTAATGGTAGGTAAAAAAGACAAAAAAAAAATGAAAGAATTTCTTTTTTAATTTTCTAACTTTAATTTTAGCACAAAAAGAATAAAAAATATAGTAATAAAAATAATAATAAAATAAAATAGCCCACTCGGTTTTTAATCTATTTTGTGAGTCCAATAATTCAAGGGTTTTATTCATATCCTTACCCCCTCTTTACTCTTCACACCCCTCACATGACATCTTAGTCTTTAAAAAGAAAGGTGATTGAGTCAGTTTTTTCTAAAAAGGATATAATTATATTGATTTGTAAAATTAAGATCAATATCTTGGATATTATATGATTTGATTGATTTTTGAAATATGTTGCTATCAAGACCAATTCTTTCTCTATATTATTCATTATCAATCAATTCACAATTAAGACCAAAATATTACAATGTATGTATATAAATACACATCTTATGGTAAAAAAAAAGAGAAAGACAAAGAGAGATTGGAGGAAAGTATAGAAGAGAATAAATTCTTGCATAAAAAGGGTACGGCTAACAACCATTATTAAAGAAGAAATTGTTGGAACACCAAAAATTTAGAAGGTATGTGAAAAGGTAGTTGTAAAGTTTGGAAGGTTTGTCACTTCCATTTTTTCTCTTTTGATTTAGGCATTATAGTATGTCTTAATATAGTGCGCATTTTTCTCTTACACTTAGCTTTGAAATTTTCTTCTACACTAGTAAAAAATATGCTTTTTAACTCGCCTAATAGACTTCGGTCTAAGAAAAACCGAAGCTTATCAGAAAGCGGTGGCAATTTTGTAGTTTTGATGAATTTATATGCCTCGGTTCAGTGAGAACTGAAGCATATAGCACATATTACAGTCTATTAACTCGGTTAAAGGTGGAATTGAGGTCTGTGTTTTGGCGTATTGACTCGGTTAGAGGAGAACCGAGGCCTATTACCTCTATTGACTTGGTCAAAGGAGAACCGAGGCCTATTACCTCTCGCACATTACCTACTCTCACAGTAGAAGCAGAAACGCTTTTACCTACTCTCACAGCAGAAGCAGAAACGCTTTTCTTTCCTCTCGCAGCAGAAGCAGAAACAAAAAGGGGAATCTCTCTTCTCTCACTTGGCAGCCACGGCGCAAGGAGGTTCTTTCCTTCATTGCAGCAGCTTGCGCTCCGGAGGGGAGGCGCGATGGTGGCCGGCGTCGAAAGCGGAGGAGAGGCGCGATGGTGGCCTGCGTCGAAAGCAGAGGGGCGGCGCGATGGTGGCCGGCGTCGAAAGCGGAGGGGAGGCGCGATGGTGGAGACGAGTACCGCGACGGTGATGATGGGAGGCTCGCCGATCTAAGGCGTTTGGTGGGAGGTTCGTCGATCTAAGAGTTGAACGAATCGCGGAGGTTTCTTTGGAGGCGAGGTGGCGGCGAGGTCGTGGCGAGGGCGTCCTGCAGCGGTGGCGTTTCTGCGAGAAAGGGAGGCATCAACCTTCATCTTTTCTTCTCTCTGTTCTGGTTTGGCCTTGCAGGAGCCTCTCTTCTTCCCCAAATCGTTCTCAGAGTTGGTGATGACAACCTCCGCAATGCTCATTGCATCAAATCCCATACTTTTTTTTTCTGTGTTATTTTTGGAGCGATTTCTCTGTAGTTGCTGTTGGAGTGCTTGCTTCTGAGATTTGGTTCTGTATCTTTTGATATTTGGTTCTGTGAAAGGGAAGGAAAATTCAATAACTTGCTTGGACTATGGACTGTTTTGCTTGAACTGTGGATTGTTTATTGTTTTGCTTGAACTTGAACTGTGGACTGTGGAACGAAGAGGGAGAAGTGGACTGTGCATACCCAAAAAAAAAACACGCTATTGCCTCGGGTATCTAAGAACCGAGACATAATCTGATCTCGTTTTAACCCGGTTCAGAACCGAGGCATAAAGTCACCCTCTTTTTACCTCGTCCGTATATGCCTCAGTTGCTGAACCGGTGCCTATAAGCAAAATTAATTTGTGTTATTTCCCCTTATTGCACTAGTGCTAGGGGCATTATTTTTAGTATTTACAAAGATCTTGTTTTAAAAATCATAAAAATAATGTTTTTCCTTATTTCTTTTGGTGTTGGTTCGATCCTTCATATCGTGTAACACACATTTTCAAATTTCCTTTTTTTAAAAAAATTATAAAAATATATTAAATATAAAATTAAAAAAAAATATTTTTGGTGTATTATTAGAAATTCAAATTTTGAAAGAAATATATTTCGAGAATAAGAAAAATTTTCCTCTTTTACATTTTAAGGTATGAGTACTCGTGCGACCATCCCATAAGCTTAATTCTTATTTTTTTTAATCATGTTAAAAATATCGAAATAATCCAAAACCTTCAAAATCTAAAAACATCAAATTATTTTTCAAAGTCATTTTCAAACAGTTTCACAAATAACTACATGAGTCTAATTTCTCATTTTATACGAGAATAAGTAGAAGCAAGGTCAATCTTTATTGGGCCCAAAAAACCAAAAACTTTTTTATATCTTTATAGTGTTGTTTTTGGAGAAAATTAAACATTTTGAAAACCACATCAACTTTGTACATTTAATTAAATGTACTGCCTTTGGACAAACGCACTAGGGTGCTAACACCTTCCCCTAGCGTAACCAACTCCCGAACCTAAAATCTAGTTTTTGTAGACCATGTCTTATTTTACGGTTTCCCATAGTTTTTCCATAATAAACTATGGTGGTGACTCCAAAAGTTGTTTTAAACCTGTTCTTTTATGGTTTGTTGTCCCGTCGCGATCTCGCTTGTGACACTGTCTATAGAAGAGAAAAAAAATTCATATGTAGGAGATAGTCTGTCAAAAGCTAAAACATGATCAATGGGATATTTAGTGGTGATGGTTCTATAGGAAGATATTTGAAAATCTTTTAGATATGCAAGAAGTTTTCTTGTTATAGTGGATTGTCTAGGAGAA